GTTTGTTGAATCTGACGTGACATGTTCGTACGAACCCTTCGTACGAACAAAAGTAAGAGAAAATTAGGATAAGAATACGAACATGTTCTTGCATGAGGCCCAATGTCTGACGTAATTACACTTTGCATAGCCTGGTTGATTCACTTCCAGCCATTTGATCCAGCCAGCCGTTTCCCCCCCTTTTTTATATTTTAAAAATTTGCTCAAAATTCGCAATAAAATTGGATGGAGACATGGCTATTTATAAATGAACTACAAAATGTTAACAACAGAAGACTTGTCATCCAGCCTTATATGCTGGAACCAGAGTTTGAGCCAGAGCCAGTGGAGAATGAAGATCATCAAACTGTAGTTGGTTAGTCCAGATCTTATTTAGTTCCTTCATAAATTATGTGACATTATAGTTCAGAAAACATCAAGGAAAATGAAGAAAACTGAGCAGTTTGAAAAAAAAATGACCCAAACAGAATTGAAAGATATCTTTGCAGTATACGGCAATGTTAAACTTTTCTGCTGTACACTCCAAAATCACAACAAAATGTATTCAACAGTAAAAGGTGGATTTTGATGGCCTCTTTAAACAGTTTAGGTGGAACCATTTTCCATCTCCTCACATTTCCCTCTTGTTTTCATGCCGTTGAATGACACTGTTACATTTGGGGTAGGATTTCATTCTCGAAGGTATTCATTGTAAAATGACACAAGCAATCGAACTTAGAACTGCATAGCAAGCGAAGCGTGCCTCGACATGTCGTGCTTTTCTTGTTAAACAGGCTGCTTCCGACAAAGACAGCTGTTTGAGAAGAATTGCTCTTCCCTGTATGGAGCCGAAAACGCCACGCGGTCAACATGTTATCAGCTAAAAGTGTTTTTCAGCTCAGGCTGATGTGCAGGTTTGCGTGTCAGCTGTCCAGAGGTGCTACATAACATTTGGCTAAATGGCACCACAGATTACTTTGCTGGATTTATTTCCCTGCACRTGGTTTAAGCAGACAATCCTCTCTGCAGAGGCTGCAGCTTCAGGTTAGGTTTAACGATGAGGAATGTTTAAAAGAAYRGTTTGACATTTTGAGAAAGTGTGATGGCTTCTCTTTTTTTTTCGCCCCGAGTCACACAAGGCAGATAATAGTACATCTGATACCTGTAAATAGAAGGAAAGCTGCTTGAGGTTGGCTTACTTTAGTGCTCACAAACACAGGAAAACAGTTTTTGGTGAAATATTTTCTATAAAAAATGTCATGTTTGCGAACTCGTTTAATGTTTTTAACTGAAACATGGCAGCAAAGCTTGGAGTATGTTCATCTGCGGGAACTCTGTAACTTTTCTGTCCTCGCAACAACTCGGAAAGCGCGCCGAGGCGGTGGATTAGCGGCCGTGTTTAAAGATCGTTTTTCCTGCAGACTTGTTGATTCAGCAACCTTCTCTGCATTTGAGCTACTGTATTTTAATTTACCGTTCTCCAGGTGCAGCCAGTGTGTTTTTATCTGAATTCACTGAGCTTCTGTTTTCCATCATTAAGCTGGAGAATGTTGTAATATTGGGTGATTTTAGTCTTCACACTGATGATGTTTCCTGTAAGGCAGCTGCTGACTTGATCTCCATCACGGAATTTCATTTCATTCAACATGTGTGTGTGCCTACTCATAAAAAAGGCCGTGCATTGGACCTTGTTTTCTCCTTAGGCCTTAAGGTGGAAGATGTTTGTGTGGAGGATATATTTTTCAGTGATCATAATTGTATATATTTTAATGTGTTTTTTAGTC